AAAAAAAAAAAAAAAAAAAAGTTAAATCCTTGATCAACATATTTGGAATCAACTCCAATTATCCTTGAAAATAATCAAAGTTCAGTATTCATTTTTTAATTTATTTAAATAAATGCCTTGTGGAGTTTGTATAAAACTAGATTATATTTTGCTGCGATTAACCACAGTATGAGTTCCTCCAAAAAGTTTCATCAAGCTTCAAGACAGCCCAAACAATACGACTCTAGAACAAACACTCTCCTCCATGAGCATTGACCATTTAAACCAAACTCAAGACCAATGTAGCAGCAAAGTCTTCATAAATTATGCAATAGTACAGACAAATCCTAGAGAATAGCAACCAAATTCAGAATCCAACGAGAGCAACCTGACGAGACACGTAAAAATGCAAACTTTGTCACTGTAAAAACGACACCTGTGTTTTATTAATACAACCCGACACCAATAATCATAAGACGGCTGAGTAACTCGACAACTGCAGCAACAGGAAGAGACACACGACTGACTTTCAGACACCAACACTGAGCAATGCTGGACTGGACGAGACTTTGGACCTTCTCAGACACACGTCTAGAACTCACTGGAACATATTAGACAACTATATTAATCACACGACCAATTGAAAACAAAGAACATCACCTTCAGAATCAAAGTGGAAAACGAAAAACATGAGAGCTCTTAGAATGCAAATGTTTTGTTTGGTTACAAACTGATGAAGGATACAAGGATACAACGATTGATAAGCAAAGAATCATAATACAGCGTACAACAACTACCACAAAACAGACCTGATCATTTGTGTCGACAGAATCTGGAAGAGATTTGCTCGTCTCAGTAGGTTTTTCAGCACCGCAGTTCTGTCTGTTACACTTGGTCCTAAATGGGTAGTTAATGTTGTTGCATTTCTCACACTTCCAGCTCCCCTCTGGCATGTCTGGTTCTAAAATCATAATATTATAAGTACACAGTGCATTTGGTTGCAAGAATATTCTTTCCAAACTTGTGGTGTAAGAGGAGAAAACAGTATTCTGAAATAGAACTTACTTGAATTCTTGCCAGTTCTTCCACCCTGCATAAATAGTCATAAACTTAGAAACACAACTTAAGGAAGTGCATAGTAAAGAATTCAAATTGGACCAAATTTACTACAATGTTAAAGCAAATACATCCTAGCATAATCAGAGGTCATTTCCCTAATAAGGACAAATTCGATAACATTTGCAATTTATGTGTTTGGAATTCAAACCTGAGATCCAGGCTTAGGTGTGTTGCACTTCCTCATGTTGCAAACTGTTCTAAACGAAAAATTTACATTTCCACATTTGGGACAGGCCCAGTCATTGTCTCGAGTTGCATCTACCAAGTCAAAATAGTAAATGTGAATTCATAAGTAAAATATAGAAGAAACTTTAGTTTCCTTTTAATATCATAACAGATTTAGATTCAAGGGGTATCACATACCACCCGCCTGCTGAGATTTCTCCTCCGGGAAAAACCCAGGTCTTTGCCCCTGGAGAAGATTAAAATAAAAGTGTTAACCAAACAATCAACCTAAATATATGTTTAGTTCACAGGTAGAATAATCA